CCGCTCCCAGCCTTCCAGTCCTGCAGGCTGAAAGTGGCTGGCACACTGCCCTTTAGGAGAAGAAAACCAGGTGAGCCTCCACACAGGACAAGAGACCCTGCACCCCAAGCAGCACATATTCCAGTATTTCAAGTGACAGGATCTGGAGAACTTCTGCTCTGTAGAAGCAGGCACCCTTAATCAGGCAAGGAATAAAGATAATGGCCACTCAGCCACTAGTAGTAAACTACTTTTGACAGGCAGCTGAAACCCTGTCAAAGGTCATGGATACAGTTAAAGATCAAACTGTGCAGAGCAAGTAATGCTCAGGGATTTGTGCAACCAATGGCACTCTGTGTGTGACTGTAAAAAGCAGCACTTCAGGTTGTCTGTCGAAGTTGGGGGCGGATTCAAAACAAGCCTCTTTCTTTGAAGCTTCCTTAATTTGACCTTTCTCGAAAGGAAGTGAAGTAACACACAGTTGCAGGACATACCCCATCCAGCAAGTGCCCTTGTGTATCCCTGGCATAAGGGGATGCTCAGTAGAGCAGCATACACGTTAGACCAGCACAAGCACAACTGAAACAAGATGCAATGACCTCCCTCTGACGGGGGAGGACAGGCCTTGCTTAATGCTGTCTGGCTCTGTAGGGATTGTGAAAACTAATCAGTTAGTAGCTGAAAGGAACACTCGTGTAACTGCCAGCCATTCAACAAGGTAAAAAGACAAATTTGTTGTTCAGATGTATTTATCTATTTCCTGCTTCATCCATCTCGGAAGTCAGGATATCCATCATACCGCTTTAGACTGGAGAGTCCAAATTTGCTTCCTGACTCTGTAATAACAGTGCTAGAAAGTAACATGGACATGCTGCTTGCTATTACTGCAGAAATCTTACTAGATGAGCTTTGGGACAGATGTCATCCAAAAAGACGGGCTGACTGTACTTCTTGGAGCCTGTAGAACTGCAAGATTTACACAGAAGCTAAATGGTAATGAACTTGAACCAGTCACTCAAAACCTCGTTTTGGCATGCAGCTGGATGTGACTGGAGATGGAAAAGGGGCGGGGGGCAAAGTATTCAAGCTAATCTTTCTTTTTTACATCAATAATCAGTTATTTATGTTTTGTGGAACAAAAGATTTATAGCAAATAACTTAAAATAATTTATTTGCATAGTATTTAAGAAACCTGATGCTTTCCTGTTAAATGTCAAGATTCCTCAATCTCATTCTCTTGTGTAATTTTCACCAAAGTTTCTTCTTGTTACCACATATCCTTTTGGTGTACCAGTGTTCAAGTTCATTCCTTCTGAAGGGTACAAACTGAGAGAGCTGCTCTAACACATACAGCAAGCTGTCAGAAGAAAACAGGAAAAAAAAACCCCAAACATCAGGCCTGGCGTAATCATGGAATCTCCTGAAGCTCCAATACTCCCTCATGGCACCCACCTCGGAAACAGTCTCTAGCATGTTGCATGAAGTTAATCTCAGTATCTTGACTTTTAGCTGTTACTCAAAACCAGGTGCTTTCTTGGTGGAATACACAATCAGAGTTTTATTTACCTGCAATTCAACTGCTAGAGAAACTCATACTCGTTAGGTGTGCTTACAGCCTGAAAACCTATGGAGAGCTCCCTGAACAAGCATCTGGTGTGGAAAAGAGGGAGCTGTCCCAAGGTAAGAAGGAAGCACATGTGCGGGAACCACAGTAGCAAGGTTTTCTCAATCTGTTTTCTTTCTCTAAGGATTTTTGTTCTCTGTCAATTACTGGTAAATTATGGAATCTTCCAGAATAATCATAGGAAAGTTCTTCTCCAGCAGAAATGTCTGTAGCTGCAAAAAGTGCCAGTCTAGGCACCATTGAGTCGACTCGAACTGGTACCATAAATAAATTGGGTTCACAAGAATGATTGAGGAACCTGCCTATGTTACCTATGTATGTAGGGTCAACAAAGGTCTCCATTATCTGACCGTTATGGAGGTGCTCCCTCACTGCCATAATATAGTTTGAATCCTTTGATGTCTGGGCCTGAACTCTTCTACGTGCCTCAGTAAAGCCCAAAACTTCACCAGCATATTCACAGACAAATCTTCCTTTAGCTATGAATTCCAGTGTACGGAGACCCCACCCTTTCTTCTCAGTCTTGAACACCTCAAGTCTGAACTGCAAACCCCTCTGAACAACCCTGTTTTGACAGGATTCACCACAGTGGCACATGGCATTGCATTCAAAAACAGGCCTGGTGTACTCCTCCTCTTCCTCTGCAGGCCTCAGGCACAAGCTGTTGTAATTTTCACCACGGCAAAGGCATGAGCACACGTGAACCACGCAGGAGCTGCTGTGACACAAACATCCTGGAAAGGTGATTTCAGTGGGGTCAATGTCTCCGTCTGCTCCAGCCACATTGTCTGGGCTGTACTGTGAAGAGAACAAGAGTCAAATCCTGATCATGCTCAATGATTCTTTTCAGAGAGCTATCCGATTTTTAAGAAGCTTATGTTTGGCAACGCTTGATCTCTGAACTGAAATCATGAACACTTCTTTGCTTGTAAACTTCCAACTACAAGTCTTAACTTTTCTAAATTAAGTTGAAAGAATGCAAATCAGATAGTCCATGTAAGCTAAAAAAGAATCAATAGTCTCATGGTGATTCAGTTCCTCAAACTATTCTACCAGCCAGAAAATGTAATACTTCTTAGCAGGAAAAACACATCAACTGATCAGATCTAGTTTACTAGATATGATTTTTATTTATGGTAACTGTAAAGTAATTTCCCCCCCCCTTCAAAGCACTCAATAAGCTACTCATAAGGTTAGTGTACAGCTATTTTAACACACAGAATTTCAAATGCTCATTTTTGTTAAAAATGAAGATACTTTCAACTTATCTCTTCAAGATGCCGTATTCAAACCTGCTCCTGCTAATTCTGTTAGAAAGTGAGGATGGTGGTGTGCTAACACACCTCTATATATTACAAAGAAGCTGTTACAAAAGCCCTGTTAGCAGGGCAGAACTGGTGTGATAAGGTGTTTGCTTCACCTTCTATTCTGGCTGTGGCGATACATGTGGTTCAGTTCAAGCAACCCAACTTGAAAATCAGATTATCAGAATTACACTAATGCCCCCAGCAGGTGAATGATTATAGAACCATGGGATGTTGCAAAATGAAAACTGATAGAAACTTTGCTAAACTTGAAAATCAAAATATAAAGACAGCTACATGGATGTTTTTACTTCCATCTCTGCATTCAGCTTCCAAAACTTTATTTAGAATCCTGGAGTATGTGCTCTTATAAATATTACATTTCACAGTAACTCATGTCTGGTAGCTTCTGAGTGTTGTTAAACATGTCAGTTAATTTGGAAGTTTCTGTTTTCGTAAGCATCAACTTTCTCAGCCACTTAGTTTTATCCAAAATGAAGTTTAATGATCCCTTATCTGTTCCTATCTTCTCCCATTCACTGACTACAAGCTTTCCTAGTTCTGTAAAACATCCTTGTGCCGTGCAATTTAGGAAGATTAGGGTCTCTCTGGATTACATCTTTATTTTCCCCCCAGTCTTACTAGAAGCTTCTTCATTCTGTTTTCTACAGACTCTTAGTGAGGCAAACTACAAGACAATAAGGTGTACTTCCAGGAAATGCATCTGGAACCTACCAAAGTAAGACAGAAGAAGCTGGGCTATGCCTGAAAGTATGAAAAAAGCTTCAAGTATAGGAAAAGGGGGGGATGGCTTTGAACTGAAAGAGGGTAGATTTTTCGTTAGATATTAGGCAGAAGTTCTTCCCTGTGAGGGTGCTGAGGCGCTGGCACAGGGTGACCAGAGAAGCTGTGGCTGCCCCATCCCTGGCAGTGTTCAAGGCCGGGTTGGACACAGGGGCTTGGAGCAACCTGCTCTAGTGGAAGGTGTCCCTGCCCGTGGCAGGGGGTTGGGACTGGATGAGCTTTAAGGTCCCTTCCAACCCAAACCATTCTCAATCGTCCTGTATTTCTAGATGACACCTTTTCTCGTGAACCACTCCAGACGGCTGCCCAGCCTGTCAGCTTTTGTCTCCCAGTCTAGTTCCAGCCTAGGGTCGATGCTAACACCTTGCAGGAACTTTGTTCCTCCTAAAGGGTGATGTCTTAACCGCGCGGTTAAAATCCACTAAACGCCACCCGGAGGGAGAAAACCCGCATATATACGTAACTAAAGCGCACGGCTAAGAACGAGTTCCTTACAGCACCAGGACCGCGGGCTGATGGCGGAGATGGACCGAGCCCTTCTGCCAAGTGTTCCCCGAGGGGGCCCGGGCTGGCCGGCTGAGGGCACGGACCAGGAAACCCGCTCGCTGAGGCGCGCTGGGCCGCTCCGCCCTCCCTTCTTCCTCCCC